AGAAACATATTCCTGTGACATTGTCAATCTTTTTTGGTAAACATTTAGCTTTCAATCCTAAAAAATAATCATAAATTCAAAGAATATTAACCTTTAAAAGAAAATTCTCAGCCATTTCAAAATCAATAATTAATTTTTTAAGCATTAATTTGATTTCTAAGCATGCATTTTCTGTGGAGGAATCATCAAAAGATATTTTACCCTCAATAAAATATTTTAAAAAATAGATTTTGAAAATATGAAAACCTAAAAATCTTCTTTATCACTATCAAATTCAAATTCGTCAAATAGCATTATACTTTCATATATATAAATTTTTATTTTCTAAAATATAAGATTCTATATTCTTGCAAATTGATACCAAATACAGTTAAATTGTATATTAGAACTTTAATCTAATCAGATATAGTTTATGTAAACAATTTTGAAAGGTCTCATTTAAATAACAATAGTGAAACTAAAGCTTTTAAAGAATCTATCCCATGAATAACTTCTATAATATCCTATTTCATTCTTTTATAAAAATAAATAACTAATTCATTAAGAATAATAAGAAATAATTACATATTATAAATTTATAATATATTTAAAAAAAATTTATAACATAAAATGATTAAATTAGTTACTTATATATTAAGAACTTACTTTCATAAGTTGCTTTTAACTTAGTTTAACAAACTATTTAATATAATTTTTCAAAATAAACTTTGTAAAATTTATCACAATAAATTTTATTAAAATAATTAGGAGATAAGTTATTATTTTAAAAAAACTATTAAATAAATGTTTGAATAAGTTGTAAATCCAAATATTATATATATATATATATATATATATATTTTGAGTGTATGTTTTACTAATATAAATTTTACCATAACTAAAAATATAAAAAATAATTAATATATTTAAAATAATTTTTTTATTTTTATAATTATAATGAAAATATTAATAGTTATATTTTTATATTAGAATTATAATATTCTTTTAGAGAATATTTGAATAAAAATAATATTAAAGTGACATGTGGACAAAAATCTAAGTACAAGAAAAAAGTTACTTTAAGAATAAATATATATAGAAGACATTTTCATTTAACTTTTAGTATTATTTTACCAATTATTTATTTAATAATTATTATCATAAAAAAGACAATAATGTAAATACATACAAAACACTATTATTATAAATAATTTTTTATTTTATGATTTATGAAAAATTTATAATATATTTATTAAATTTTAAATATATAATTTAATATATTTTATATTTTTAAATTTAACTTTTCCGTATAATGCGCAAAGGATAATAGTTAAATATTAAAACAGTGTAAAAAATATTTACAAATAATTAAAAATTAGATTTAAAAACACAAAAATATAAAAGTCTTCTTAATAGTTCATCAAATCAAATTCTTTGCATGATATTTCAATTTCGTAGATAGTTTTAAAATTTTAAAGCATAAGATTCGATATTTTTGCAAATTAATACCAAATATAATCAAATTAAATATTTAATGAAATTAGATATGATTAATGTAAAAAATGTAGAAATGTCTCCTTTAAATAACAATAGTGGAACAATAGCATTAAAACGACCCACCTCATAAATAAGCTACAGTAACATTCAATTAGTAAGAATTAAAATATGGGTGAGACTGAAGTGAAATAAAAAATGCATAATTAAAATATATAAAATGTAAATAGGAAAAACATGAGAGTGACATGTAGATAAACCTAGTGAATAAGCAACAACTTTATTCAATGAAGCAATTAATATTTTTAAAAAAGTAAAAAGGTTAATTAAATTAAATAATAAAACACTACAAAAAAATCATTAAAAAAATTGAATTTGAAAACATGAAAATCTAAAAGTCTTCTCAGCACTCTATCACATTCAAATTCGTTGGATAGCATTTCAATTTATTATATACAATTTTCTTTTGCTATTTATTAAATACAAAATTATAATTTATGAAATATATAATTTACATTCACTCTTAAATTAATGCCAACTACGATTAAATTAAATAATATAATTTGAATCCAATCAGGTATAGTTAATGTAAAAAATATTGAAAAGTTTCCCTGAAATAATAATGATTTTTATAACATATAAAAAAGAGTATATAATAAAAATTAATAAATAATAAAATTTATTTAAAATTATAATATTTAATAATATCAATAATTAAATTACCTTAAATTTTATAATTTATAATTAAAATACTATTCATCATGTGCACTTTTACATAAGTTAACATAAAAATAACAACAGTGAAATGAAAGCGTTAAAATGATCAACTCATAAATAGCTTCTACAATCGCAAAATTTAAAGACCAATTAAAAGATGAGTGACATTACTCTAAAAAACATTGATGTAAAAAAAATAATTAATTCATAATAAAAGTAAAGAATATAAATAACATAACATGGACAAACTTAGTACAGTAAGCAATTGCTTTAATAAATGAAATAATTAATAAATTTTAAAAAAAAGTTTACTTAAAATAAGTATTAAAAAACTACTAAAAATGCAAAATATCATTAAAAAATTGAATTAAAAAACTAACTTTTTTAACACAATAAATTTTAATATAATAAATTTTTATTAAATATCGCGTGATTCGATGTATTAATGTTATAATTTATGATAAAAATATTATTTATTAGCTTTTATTGTATATTCTGATAATCATATCAAAAAAATAAATTAACAATATTGGAACTAAAGCATTAAAAGGGTCTACCTCGTAAATAACTTGTACAATATCATTTATTTAAAGACTAATAAAAGATGATCGAGATTGAACCATAAAAATAAATAATCTATATATAATAAAAATAAAAATAAATAAAATATGAGAATTCCCATATACACAAATCTAGTATAATAAAGAATAACTATAATATAAATATATAGATGCTCGTAATCGTATGGATCCTACGGTTTAATTTTATTGTGCGTCAAACAAACATGAATACAACTATCAATCTACTACACACTATTTTTTTTTTCTTTCCTCATTGTTTGAACAAATCTATGATTAAAAGTCATAGAACAGTAGATTAAATAACAACATTTTATTAAAAATAAATTTAGAATATAAAAATTACTCTAACCGTTAACATTTTAAAGTAAATTAACAATATATTTTAAGTAATTCAATTTATATATATAATCAATCTTCTTAAAAGTTTTACTTATAGATCACTTCTAAAAACGATATTTAACAACAGTAAATTATTGTTATGTACTATCAAATGCTTTAAGCATAAGATGAAAAATAAAAAGAAAAAATGACACCAACCTTTTGTAGCTCTAAATAATCTTCCAACTGCGAATTAAGAGTAAGCTTCGCATGTTTCTGAGAGCCATAAGATTGACGAGAATTAACAGAACCCCTTTTCATATTTATATCTCAATCCTGAAAATTCAATTAGAAAGGTATGAGTTTTCAATGAAAAATTTAATTCACAGACCCTCCTTCTCTTTTCAACAGCACAAGAAAAATGCATCCATAACAAGACCTCAACACAAGAAATCAACTTTTAATTTAGAGAAAGAGGTAGAGAGTGATCCTCACCCAAGAGAATAACAAGAGGAGCAGAAAAGTTATGTCCATTGTTTTCAATTCAAATATTTATAAAGTAAAAACAATGTGATAGTTTTATAATTAAAACTATAACGAGAAAATATTTTTTGAAATTAAATAAAGTCAAAGAGATAAGAAGTACTGGAAAGGGATAATTGAGAGTAGAGCAAGAAACTATCTATCTTTTGGAGAAGAAAAAGGGATGATGCAAGACACATTGATATAGCTTTCCCTTCATCGTATCTTCTATCACGTTATTTTTAAAATAATTCTTCTTTTGATTTTTGTATTTCTTCCAATAAATATTATAATTTTAGTGTACCTTTAGATATTCAATTTTAGAGAGGGAAAAAAGGGTACATTGAAAAGAGCAAGGGTATTTATCATTTATTTTATCTTGACTTATCACATCTTATTAGTTCAACAAATTTCAATAGGACAATATAAAAATAAATAAATTTCTATGTTATTATTACTCTTAGAGTAGTTTCTTTCGTTGGAAAAGATCTTGAATAAATATAAAAAAGATGTATTCCAATATTATCTTCATGAATAAATAAAATTTTTAATAGACTTTAATTTTAACACATTATTAATATAAACAATTTTATATTATCAGTTAGTCAAAATATATGGCAAATATATCATTTAAATCAAATATAACAAAAATTAATTATTCTAACTGATGTAATAATTTATGATTAGGTATAATAGTATAAAATATATTTATATGCGACTACAATTCAATTAATTTTGTTCATTATTTAATGTAATTGAATGTAAATCCTCATTTGTTTTTTTAAGTTAATTTCTCCTCAAAATAAATTTTCTACACTTATTTTTTTGTCTAAAAAAATCACAATGGAAAAGTGTAACTTTTTTAATGAAATATATTTATTTCAACAAACAATTAAGCAGCATAAACCATGGTATAATGATGAACATTCATAGTTGAATAATCATACTTCTTACAATTTAGTTTTATTTTGTGATGAAATTGATAGCTTCAGAAAAAACATCAAATAATTCAAATTCAAATATCAAAGTGAAACATGCATGGTCCTAATTGTGTGGGATGCTGATCCTAAATTTATGTCAACTGTAGATCATGACGAGAATTATAGAATCATGGGATAATAGTTATTCAAAATAGTTATTTTAAATTTTTTTAATTTATCATTTTAATAATTTTATTAACTTCAAATAACATTGATAGAGTAAACAAAAATTTATAATTTTTTAATATTTATACAAAACATAAAATAGTAATTATTTTAAAATGGATAACATATTTATTTAAGTATCTACATGGTTAATCTTTTAAACCCACTGAGTTACATTCACTCTTTATCTCTATAATAATTCCCACAAAATTCAGTTTATATCCAAATGCACCGAAGCATCTAGATGCATCATAACCATTGATCACACTATACAAAAAGGGTGTACTGTTGCTGCCCAAAACCTACTAACTTTCACTTCTCTCTAGTCTTTGTTCAGATGCAGCTTGTTCATTTGAAGAGGAATGCTCTTGTGAAGGTGCACTGGATTGGATCAGTTTTTTGAACTGCACCAAGATCATGGTCATGTTATCACATCCATCACCAACAGCAATTGTTGGTGCCAAACATCGATCAAGTACTCTTTCACAAACTGCAGAAAGTTTCGTTTCCTTGGAGATAAAAATAGCATCATGTCATAACATGTGTTTCCCAGATCAGCCAAACCACTTGAAACAATAACTTGGATCATTAACCAAGTAGACACACCACATGAACAGAAAACTCTAGTCCAAAATACTAACCTACAGACTGATCCAAACCAGAACCAACATAGCAAAATTAAACAGTAAGCAACTCAACAATGGAAAGCAAATTATATGTATTATTATGAATTAATGCATAGATATGATACCTGTATTGGATACATATCATACGTTCACATACAATTATATGACTATTCTTAAAATGTATGGATATAATATGTGCAGGATATGTATGAAAATTCATAAAACATAGTAAATATATAATTGCAATTAACATACTTATTTCACATTACCAAAAACAAAATAAAAATTATAAATCATTATCATCATAACTCATGGCTTTTTGCTTATAAACAGGAATAGCATCAATCTCATTCCCTTATTGAGCATCATCCATGAAGAAGATAGCTTCACTTTTTGGTTCATCAAGAAAATGTTTCTATTATTTTATCTTTTACATGTTTCTATGTCTTTTATTTGACTATTAGATTTTCATAACTTTTTATAAAGGCTTGGATACTTCATAGATACATGTTGGTAAAGTATCCAAGAGTATCAATACCGGATAAGTATCTAAGACAGATGCGTGAAGCAAATGCATGTGTTGGTGCTTTTGGTTATCCATTCCCTCAAAGCTTGGCTCTCCTTCAAAGAGCTATTGATCTCCATCCGAAACAAACATAATGACTTTCAGAAAAGGATACCCAACTCCACATATAGTTTTGGTGGTGAGACAACATTTGAACATTTCGGAAGCAGAAAGATCAATTTGCAATTTTAAACAAAATAATATATTTGACCTGTTGTATGAGTCACTAATCATAAATCAGAATCATCTATTAAAAAATTCTTATAGCTGATGTTATCATTAACAGTCTACTAGTACAGCACATGAAAGGTGGTGTACGTTACTTAGACTTTGCCAATATGCTAGTGTTCTAAGTGAAAAGGCAATGGCTACCGGCAAGTAGAAAAGTAAATTATGCGACAGAACATTACTCTATCCCCAGTTTGAAATGAAAGAGCAGCTAATTCTCTCTCACTATTACACGTATAAGCACAAATTCTTATCCATGACAATGCCAACTACCGAGAACTGCATTATGTACCATCAATAAGTATAATCTATGATCAATAAACAATAACAGAGATTATTAATTGAATACTCCACCACTTTTTTAGGAAAATTTTATAACTTAAAACTCACCAAGAGTAGTTGTTGACGCACAAAATCTACCAATTGTTGGCTTGACAGGCAATCCCTGAAAAAGAGCCAGTTAGAAAGAAATAAATAATTCACTCAACAATTTTAAATACATGATATCCCCATTACCCATGACCAGTTGACCACAATATATATTAATGGTTTTTCTATCGTGTGGGGCAAACAATAAGAAATCAATAAATAATAATTTTTTATTGAAAATTGCAACATTTAATGTTATCAATGTATTGAATCATGTGATATCCTGCAATTTTCAATAAAATTTTACTATATGTATATTTTTATTATGTGCCCTTGGGTACACATTAGAAAACTAGGTAGTGTGGAGGGACCAACTGACCTATGTGTTAACAACATTTTAGTGAACTAGCACTGACCTTTACAAAGTCCTCTAGTAAGATACACAGACTTCCCATCTCATGGTATGTCTTGCTAGAAAAAAAATTACAGTGTGTGTATGCATTATAATTTAAAATATGGTAGTTCTATGTAATATCTTAAATTAGAGACGATTTTTTTATAAACCTTTTGTTAGTATAATTTCCTCATATAGGCATGAAACAAGAAGCCTTTGCCATGCTACAAAAAGGTGCATAGTATTATATGTTTAATGTGCCAAAAATAAAAAATCACATCAATTGTTACATCTTAATGCAAATGACTGATATCTTCCATATACATGGTAACATTCAGAACTAAAATGGGGATATATAAGCATACCATATGCCATCACAAGCTAGCACTATAAATTCATCTTCATCACAAAGGTCAACCTGTGATAAAATGTCAAAAACAAAATTATCAGTCATAATTAAAATTTGAAAACATACAATGGTAGTAAATACTGAGACTCTTAAGCAAGCATTTTATTATTGATTCAACCATATTGCAATTGGGAAACACTGATAGATCTATTCTATGTATCACAACGTAAGCAGAGTTGAAAGGAACAAACTTACGATGTTTATGTCTGGATTGGCTGTCACAATTTGTTTCTCAGCGGAAAGAAATTTATTCTGCTTAAATTCCATGTCACCTGCAGAATATTGAAACATATTGAATGGAAACTACACTCAAAATCCCTAATAAATGCATTTTTACAAAGAAATTAGTGCTCAAAGAAACAAATATACATATTTGAAATCTTCAATTATCCAACTTGAAACCAACCCACATTCAGAGTAACCTCATCTAGCCTTTGTAAAGAAAAAAATAAATCATACAAAATAACAACATAGAAATTTGCCTTCATTTTTGGTGCAGTTAATAAATTTATCGTGTTAAAAAATTCATATGCCTGATTGACGGTGCAGATGCCCTGGCCACCCACTTGAGTTGAAATTAGAAAAAAAGATGCTTAAACATTTGTAAAAGCTCATTTACTTGGTAGTAGGTCTGTACCTATAGCTCTTGCAAGGTTTAAACTCCCATTAACTCGTCCTGCATGAATAAAACCACCAGCTTTTACGATTCTTTCCTTCTCAATTTCAAGATCAGGTTTATGGTCTCTAGACAAATCATATGCCTGTAGAAATAAGCTATAGTCAAAAAATTATATGTATAAATATTATACACAAGATCTGTTATTTTGAACTAAATATAGATATAGTCTACCAAAGAGACATACAATAACTACAACCGAGTCTTACTCTTATACCACTAGGTAGGGTCGACTACATGGATTACATGCCATTGAGTTTGATCAAAAATTAAATTTTCAGAAATTTAGTTAATCAAAAAGTCTCTTTTAATAACTTCGTTTGAAGTTCTTTTAGATCTCCTTCAACCTTTTTTTAGTCTACCAAAGAGACATAATGTCAAAATTTTTCTATGTATTTAAACAAGTTTGCTCAGTAAATTGAACCAGTCAAATCAAGAGACAAGCGTTGTTTCCCAATGGTCAGTCATGAATCATAAATTAGATGAATAAAAATAAAAATTGAGCAATTAGTGTAAGTAAATGTCTGTCCTAGCATTCAAAATAATGAAAATCCAAGAAAGTCCAATTCAAAGTTACCTGACCCTTCCTAGATATTACACAGCGGGAGTCACCAGCATTTGCAACAAAAAGTTGATTGTTTCTAATAATTGCAACACAGGCAGTGCTTCCTGAAGTTGGTCCAGCAAAATTAGAATGAGGACCCTGCTTCAATATATAAGATCATATTACAGAATGACAACAAAAAGAAACCAGAACAGAAAAAGGGGGTGTAAAGAAAATTGTAATTTCACACACAGAGATAACCAGCATATTTGGAGAAACAAAACCCTATAATTGATGGACATGAATCATGATTACTTAAAAAGCCATATGCCAGGTGCCAACAGACCAAGGATTTCCCATGAAAACTATGATGTTGAAAGGTATAAGTTAAAAAGATCCTTCAAATGCCATGCCTACCTCCTCAAAGGGCCAACCATCACCTTGGTCCTTACCATCACTGCTTCGTGGAGACCAAATCAACCCTTCTACTATCCCATTAAACTTTTTTACCTTATCACCCAAAACTGCTAATTCCCTCCATCCCCTTTGACCACGCATCATGTCATCCATTCTGCAATACAAAATTGCTAGTTCATTACACTTTTTTATTTTTTTTTCTTCTGGTGTTTTGGCTGAGGGGGAGGAAGCAATGAATGAATGAGGAATTAGTGATAGTGATCACTTTTTCATCTATGATATCAATTTGACTGCGAGATAAATGATGCAATGCCAATACCATACTTCATATGTGTACTTCAATTCAGTAATTTTAATGAAACAATAAATTCAAATACATGCTAACCATGATCAATAGCTAACAGGTGGGCTAGAACTACAGAAAGATAATAATCTTCAAGGGGCTATTGAGCAAGACACTGGTTACTACACCCCTTTTCTTTTTGTGTGAATAATTACCCTCATTTGCATATTAAAGAAACATGTACTACAAAAATATAATAGCGACTTAGAAAGCTGAAAATTTAGCTGACTATCCAAATGGAAGTTCTAGACTTTAAATAGTGCAAACATAAAACAGACTTCGACCGCTATAGTCTAAATACATGCAGGGGATCCATCTTCAGCAATTAAACACGGGCACTCTTGTTCTAACCTGAAAAATGCTTGCTGAAGAGAGGTTCCTACATCTCCAGCTACATATGCTTCACTCTTGAGCACCTGCTGGTGAAGATACTTGGCACAAAACTTTGCAACCACCTTACCTGAAAATTTTGGAGTTATTTGAGCATCCATAACATATTGTTGATAACAAAGTTCTAGATAATTTTTGGTAATAATCTTCTCTTTCCTTGGCAGCGGCAGACATATATACACCCCTAATTAAAACCTTAAGGCAACACATAGAGGAGCATTGAGATACACAAGCTGCACAATTTCTACCAGATAACGATCTGGCAGATGAATCGACAGCTATTTGTTTGAAAAGATAAATTGAAAAACCAATTAACAGTAGATGGAATCTTGCAGGGTATAATCTTAGTCAAGGTACAGAGTTGCACTAAATATCCAATGGTCTAGGCCTTCACCCAGGTTTCACAAGTTTTAGAATTAGTTTGGATAAACTTCTCAACAAGCACTTCTAAAAGAATAAAATAAAAGGAATTGTGAATCAAATTTCTCCCATAAGTTAAAATAACTTATGCATCTCAGCTTATGGAGATATTAGATGAGAGAGTTTCTCAAAAAATTGAGGTGCATAAGTTAGTTTTGACTTACAAGAGAGCTTTGCTTCCTTTTATCTCCATTCTTTTATTTTCTTTTGATACAAGTTCTTGTTGAGAAGTTTATTCAAATAGTCTCCCAGTCCGCTTACCCAAATAAGAGTAAAATAGTAAATTATCAAGAAATAACTTTAAATTGTGCTTCAAATATTGAAATTATAGATGATAAGAAATTAGTAAACCCAAGAAAAGGTTAACTAGATGATATCTAAGGGAAAAATTAAGAAACTCATCTGAAAAAAGAAAACAGGAAATTGTTCAATTAGGCAAAATGATTTTTGCAAAGTGACTCGCTTGTGAATAGTCTTAGAAATTTGAGATCATTACTGCTTTGTTTTTCTTTCTTTTAAGGGATTTTTTGTACTTTCCTTTAATTTTTTGTTTTAGTATCTCAATCATATCCTAGTTATCTATTTTTAATTATAAGAATTGGGGGAGTAGCAGGGAAAGATATTATTTAAAAGAGGAAAATGACACATCAAGTCATTTTAACATGTATAGAGGACATCTGTAATAAAGTAGTAAAACTGACTTTTATCACCCTTCCAAATACTCAAACTTGTTCAAATCTTACCTCCATGACCATCATAAACACCAAAAAAGGAAGTTGATGCATCCAGATCAAGATGTGCAGCATGCTAGCAAAAGAAAAGACAGTGAAAAAACAGATTAGCATATTAATGGTTTAATTAACTAATAGCAATCTAAGCAATGAAAATACAATGAAATTAGTTGCAAAGCACTCAATTAAAAGCATATTTAATGGACAAAGTTATCACAGAAAACACAATTCACCGGGCTCATAAATTCAGTTTCTCTAAACATAAGATAAGATTACATATTCTAATCCCCTAATAACATCACCATCTTCCAACCAATGCATTGAGCAAAGCTCAACTATGCAGCACACAAAACAACAGTGTAATTCAAATACAGTACAGGTCATAAGAATTTATTGGAAACAGTCCCAAGCAGAGTGCTCAAAATATTGAGGGAAACTTGCAGTTTTCTTGTAGAATTGGATAACATGTATTTATCTGTTTCTACAACTCTGCCACAATAGTGATGTGCATCAGCCCTAAAAAAAGCTCATAATCCCCACTGTGAATTGCGTATTAAAGGTATAAGATAAGAAAAACACATTCACTCTCACTCATATCAGAAATAAATACTAGCAAGACATAAATGCAAGGGGAAGCAAGTCCCTCCCTTCTACATATCAAACAAATCATTTCCTGAGAATTAATTCAGCATGATGACCAAGCTTGGATGGACCTGCTCATGCATAAATCAGTGTTATTAAAATTATTTGCCAATCCATTAAACATACAAACATTATAACAAATTGGAAACAGAAGCGATCCTGATGCAAAAAATTCTATTCCTTGATGCAACTAGAGAAGAAATATGGATGTAGTCTAAGAGAGTAAAACAGTGTTCATAATCAGAGTTTTTTAACCTTATTACTTATGACTGAGTTTAAGCATTCAAAAATAGTAAGATTTAATTGAAAAAACAAAAGTGATTACTCACTGCATCTTCCATTGTCAAACGCCAACCTTGCATAGATGATAAGCCATATCTAAGATGGTCATTTTCAGCATCTTCAGAAAACTTTCCAGTTTTGGGAGTGCTGAGATTTGTTCCCATTCCTATTTGAATAAAACAAATAAGTATTAGTTTTATTTCTTTAAGCATGGAACTAAAGAAACTTATACCAAAACAAGTAAAAGAAAAGAAAAGAAATATGGATATCATTTGATAATAATTCTTACAAATATGCTACGCAACTTTAAATGCTGCATAAACCAAAAAAAAAAAAAAAAGTTATATCATGATGCTAAAACACAAAGTTAATAGATTTTTAATAAAGAAAACACCAATCTAACGTGTCCATTAAAATTAAGAATCTTCTATTTTCAAAACAAAAGTAAAAAGAAGTAACAAAATGTTGAAGTGCAAGGCACAGTTAATTGGGGAGAAAATGAAGCATAATTTTTGCAATTCAATGCATGCAAATCTTAGTTGATTAGAGAGATAACGATAAGGGAATAATTTTCACATGGAACCAGAAAGCAGACTCCATCATAGAAAAGGTCATCTAAACTCTTTCTATTTTTTTACTTTTTCCTTTTCTCATTGACAGAGTTGGAAAACACTAACATTGAATACAAATGATCTAAAACCATGCAACACAAAGATGGAACAAAAATTTTCAATACAAAATAAATACAAAGACACAGATCAAACTGATTGAAGAGGAGGAAGTATAAAATGGAACCATGATATTATAGAATACGCGCACACAAAAATTGAATTTTTTTTTTATTTCTTAATTCAGCATAGCAATAATATCCATAATCAAGGAAGACCCAGATAATAATATGAGTAGTAAATGATTAATAAGAGTTCACAACTCATAGTTCTGTACATTCTAACTTGAAAGTGGAAAAGAAACTCACTGTGAACCAACAATTCAGATTCTTTTTTCTTTTTTTTTTGGGTTTTTACTTTTGAGAAGTGCAAGAATGGAATGAATAATGGTGAGATTGAAGACGGGTACCTAGTATGAAGAAAAGTATATGGATTGATTTTGGACTTTGGTGAGAAAGGAAATAGAAACAGTGGAAGGGACAACCACTATTGATAAGTGGGAATAAAAAAAAGAAAAAAGGAGAAGACTTTGTGGCACAGAATGAAATTGTTTGTTGTGTTCAGAGCCTGTAAATGTGTCAGACACTGTTTGCTATCCACAACTACATTTTCGTACACATTCTTGTCATGCCACTCCCTTCAGACACGCACTCTTTATCTCTCTCATCCTTATGAATTATGATTAAGACATTTTATTAGGACAGGGATACCATGTCTTATGGTATATAATTTGTTATTTTTAATATAAAAAATAAAAGATGATAAAATTTTATTAAAAATATAATTTTAATGTTATTGTACAATTTTTTAATATGTGAAATCTTGTAATTTTTATAAAAATTTATTATATTTCAATTTTTATTGTGTGCTCTTAATATATTTTTTAAAAAATTGTTTATTATTTTTATAGTATTATGACTTTTTATAAGGGAATTTGATAAGTAATAATGTGAAAATTTGACATGATCACTGTGGTGTCTCCTCTGATTTTGCCTTCATTTCTTATTTTGCTCAATTTTTTTTTTCTAAACAAATTTTCTTTCAGCTATTTCCATACTTAGAAGTGTATAACGCATTTTTAAAGCTAATATTTTATTTATTTTATTTGTTTAAAATATGTTAATATTAAATTTTAGAATCAATTTAGCTATTTTAAAATAATAATATTTTGATAAAAAAATTATATTTATTATATTAAAAATATAAGCATTATAAATAATTTTTTAAATAAAAATTTATTATTTTATATATTTAAAATTAGGCCTAAGAACTAATATTATTAAACTTGTTTAAAATACTATTGTATATAGTGTTTATACTGATTTTTTTAAGTTATCTCTATTATTTTATCATTTTTATTTTTTGTTATTTTATATTTATGAACTAATTTAACATCAAGTTTCATTAAATATTTTAAATTTAATAAGATAATTAGTCAAATTTTTAGCTATTTTTTAAAATTTATTTAATTTTTAAATAATTTATTGGATAATTTTAAAGTTTAACAAAAAAAAGATAGTGTTCTTGAAACTAGACTCACACAATAAGCAAACAAACAACCATTTGCTAAAAGTTCTAATTTACGAATAAAAGACCATATATATATATATATATTTTTGGCTTAGGAAAACTAGCCATTTGCTTACTATATGTCACAATATCTAAACACATTTTATTATGAATAGAATATAAATATAAACATAAATGTGAATATAATAAAAAAATGAATTTTATTAAAAAAGATAACTAAATTTAATATTCGACTATATTTCAGACAAAATAATTACTTATAAAAGATATTTATGAAGAATAAAAATTGATACAATCTCTTGATGTATATAAATGAATTGGTGTATTTAAAAGAAAAAAATAAATATAATAGCAAAAAAAAGAAATAAACAAATAAATAAAAAGAAGAGTATAATATATATTAATAGAGAGGGAACATAAAATAAGTAAATATGATAAGATTTATTTTTAAAAAAATCCCCCCAATTACTCAAAGTGAGGAGAAATGGAGAGGGATAAAATTGGCACATGTTTTTTGTTTGTTTAATTTTATTGTTAATGTTTATTAATATAATATATCTTCAAAATTTTCTGTGATCTGAGAAATAATTAAAAATTTAAATTATTAATTACAAAGCCATAACAGTAGGATAAGTAAATGAACTAATAACTCTAACTAATAATTAAGGGGACATTTTATCTATCATACCATAGTTTAAGAAAATGACTATTTATATTGAATGGATTAAATTTTCTTTTATTTCTTTTTACTTTCTTAGGTATATAACTTGTAACTTTAAACACAAATAAAATGACAGTCATACTGTTATTTTAAGTAAAGTCCATCTTTCTTTAAACTATTGTTAAGGCTTGATGTCTTTAGTATTTTGTGATCTAAGTGGTTAACCTACAGTGATTGTTTATTTTTTATTTTTAAACCATGTTTATTAGAAAAAAATATATTTTGTTTATTTATAAACGAATGATTCATTTATCTAACAGAAAATTTTGTATTTAAAATTATAAACAATAATTAATCTTAAGTTATTTACACGACACTTTATGATGTTAATGTTATACTTTTTTATATAATCGTAATATGTGTGTATAATATTTAATTAATAATGTAAATTATATTTACCTATCATTTCAAGATAAATGATTGATAATAAATTATATAATTTAAGTTTATATTAAAAGATAGAAATAATTATATAAAATGTTACATGTATATAATTTAGTATTTTAAATAATAAAATTATATTGTATGTAAATATTAGTAAACTAAAAATAAAAAACATTTATTCAAATAACAACTTGTGGAAAACAAGAATCATCTCCTAAATGTAAAGTTTTTCTTAAAAAACTTAACATAATAATTAACTTTACTTTGAGTGTCCTTATTCTTTTTACATGTTATGACTCCTCCAAATTTCTCATACTAGGAGCAAAACATAAATTATTATGTTTCGAATGATAAAACATCCATACTTTAACAAAATTTTCACGTATCCTTGATGCATGAGTTTCAATAAAGTTATTTCACCCTTCACTAAGAACATAATACTTATCTGTCCATTTTTTTAACTTCATCGAGAACACTTTACCATTCATATCATAGGCACTAACTAATATTACTTCTACAACATTTTCATCATTCTTCAATATTGGCAAGAAAGATTCTTCAACGTGTTTCTTGTTGAGTAATAGTCAATTTTGAATTGCTCTTACGTCATTAGGTGTTAGCTTCTTTTCAAAAGTATTACTACCGTCAACAATATAGGCATAGAGACTATAAAGTAGTGACAAATCTACCCCAGTAAGAAATTGTGTTGATGATAATCCCTCACGATTCATTATATGACAATGGAGGCTTGGAGGTCGTAACCAACCTATATGATTGGAAAATTGTGTTGATAATGACCATTCACTATTTTCTTGAATTCTTCTGCGTTTTCTCTCAAAACTAGTGACAGATCTAGAAACCATTCAAAGGAGGCCGAAAGAAAATAAATTTAATAATAATAATACCATATATTGAATACAAGTTAAATATAATGTACCTTTTTCTTTAAGTCGTGCACATCGTTTCTTCATGTCATAAAATTTGTCAATAATGAAATCAATATCAAACTTCTTAGCAATCCTTCTCTCAATGTATGTAATCAAACAATTAGTAAGAAATTCATTTTTCATCTTGTTTTTAAGTCTGTTTTTCACAATGCTCATAGATAAAAATGGTCTCTCAATAGTAGTCGTTGAAACTAGAAGAGTCAATACCAAGCGAATTAAACGATCACCAGAGGATAACACAAATTTTTTCTTGTTTTTACCAATCCTTGACATAATTCAGAAATTGTTGATAGATTTTTCAATTCAGAATGAAAAGAAACATCAAGTTCATAATGTTAGGCTTGTATTTTAAGATGCATCTTTTCTTGCTTAGTGAAATTAGAAGGATAAAACTTTGTCGCCAATTCATAGATCTTGTCTGCATTGAATGATTTGTAAAGATCTTTTGGATCTAAAGTTGAGCTCAAAGTAAGCAAATCTACCATATTGTCATAATATCTACTATTAAGGTCCTGCAACTATGTATCAATAGTAGCAATGAACATATTAACTCTATAATGGTGCTCAATTGTAATTTGTCAATATTTTTACGAGCTCGACCTTTTTTGGGAATGTAGAAGTCTCAGGGACATTAATTTCATGATTTTCACAAAATGACATGGCTTCTTTAAAAAGCTTTTCCCAACTTGACTCCCTCGTTCTTTGGATCAAAGTTTTAGTAGAGAAGCCAAAGACATTGCATTCAATATGTCTTGTCTCTTACATTGCAAAGCTTGACAAAGATCATCAGTAACTTCCAAGATATCTCTCATAAGATGTAATAGAAAAATAAACTCAAAAGATGTGAGAATATCATAAGTACTGTTAGCATCACCACGAAGGAAATAATTACCTTCTTTTGTAGCTCTTTGAAGAACTTCACATATAGCATCATACATCTGCAGTAAACTCTGAGCTAAACTTAAATGAGATCTCCACCATGTATTTCCAGCTCTTTTTAAAGTGTTTCTTTGATTAAGTCCACTACCTATCTATATATCATTACTAGTAACCAAATTTGCAACAATTGTTGCTTGAACTACTTGTAATTGATCATGTCGCTTAGGAGAAGCAATCATAATATTCACAATCAATGTTAAATTTGAAAAAAATTGATGAACATGACTAACTTCTCTAGCAGCCGCAACTAGTGCTAATTGCAATCGATGAGCAAGACAATGAACATAATATGCATAATGACATTCTTTCAAGAACAAAGATTGTAACACATTCCATTCACCACGCATGTTACTAGCTCCATCATACCCTTGACTACGAAGACTTTGAATATCAAGACAATAACGAGAAAGAACACTTGAAATTTCATTTTTCAATGTCAAAGAAGAAGTGTCTGAAACATGAACAAGATCAAAAAATCTCTCTTGAACAACCCATCTTTATCCACAAATCTCAAAACTATGGCCATTTGTTCTCTATTTGATTCATCCCTGGATTCATCAATGATAAGACAAAATTTAGAATCACCAATCTCTCACGTATGGTAGCACGTATCTTTCTAGCAAAAATATACAATATTTCTTTCTGAATACTAGTTGATATATATTGAGCATTTCCAAGACAACATTAGTCACACTAGGATTATAAGAAGCCAAAAGCTTTACAAGCTCAACAAAGTTCCCTCTATTCAATGAGTTGATACTTTCATCATTACCTCTAAAAGCACATGCTTGAAATGTGAGCCACCTAACAGCATCAATGGAAGCCTTAAGCCTTAAATGATTGTTTGCAATAATTTCAGCACTCTGCCTATTGAATACTTTTTGAATATGTTGAGCTTGGTCCATTAAATCATCACAAAATGTCAGACACTTTTTATGCAATGAATTAGGACTAACTCCTTCATGACATATGAATGCACAATTCTTTCCATCGTTGACTTTTTTCCAATTTCTAAATCCTACTTCAATAAAAGCATTTCTTCCATCATTTCGGTTACCATGATTATTATTGAATAAGTAGCAAGGTAAACAAAATGCAACATGTTTAAGAGGTGAATATTCTAACCAATTAGGAAACTTTTTAAATCAAGAAGGCTAAAAGTGTCGATGATGCTTTCCCTCACCAGAAGCTGAAAAATTCATATTTGTAGGTTGATATGGTCTTGCTTTTATATAAGCTCGTTAAATCTTGTCACGTTGGTCAATTGAATATTGCCAAATTGAATGTCGTTTGCCTGGATCTTTCTCTAAAAGAGAAATACCAACTTCTTCTTATGTGCTAGGTACTTGAGATTGATGTTGTTCAATGGTTGCTATTTATGTGATTGATGGAAGAGCAGAAAAGTTAGCTTAAGGACACTCATCAACTTTTCTTTTGAAATATGCTTCAATTGTTGATTTTTTACTCATAATTTTAAATAACTTATTATTAGAAGTTTAACAAAAAAATAAAAATAAAAATGGAGTGTTCTTAAACTAGACCCACACAGAAGCATTTCAATTTGAGTAAAACAATGATAAATATTATAACAAAAAAAAAGGAAAAAAGACGCAAGTCTAAAATCAAGTAAATAAAATAATTAGTATCGTAATTATGTCAAACTATTTAAAATTATAAAAGAAACATCCGAAAAAATCTATAAAAATTTTATAAAAAATGTTTATAATATTTATATTTTTTAATTTAATTTTAAATATTTTTAAACATAATTTTTTCCAATGTGTTTTAAATTTTTAATAAATTTTATTAATTAAATACATAATTAAACTATTTAGTTAAATATATTTGAAATATTAAATACTACTCTTACTTTATATATATATATATATATATATATATATATATATAATATAATATAATATGTTATCAGTGATTGATTATTTATACTATAATTTAAATAAAATAATGTTGAATAAAGACATAACTGCATATTTTAAATATCATATTTGTTAAAATAACGTAATAGTTCTCAAAAAATAATTTTGAAAATTAAAAAAAATTAAAACAGAAAAATAAATGTAAATTTATATAAACTATTAATAAAATAAATATTTATTAAGTAATATTATTAAAACATCAATAAAATAATTAAAAATTAATGTATTCTTGTTAATTAAGATAAAGTTTAATTAAGAGATCAGCTAAATTAAAAAATAAGGAGATTTTGAAATATTTATTATCTATTTAAAAGATAGTACAAATATGCTATCTAATGATAATAAAACTTAGTTAAAGATTTTCAGTTTATGTATTTAAATTTTTTTTTTTGAAAAAGATACTCTATTTGTAAATGTAGGATTTGTAAGAAAAAAATTTAATATTTATAAAATAAATTAATAAAATAAAATATTTAATAATGTAATATGAAAATAAAAGTATAGTAAGTGAGTGGCATTAAAAGAATTTAAAATTTATTATATTAAATTTTTAGAGTATGAACTATAAACATAATGGTATTTAAAAAAATTGATTTATTGTATTTTATATTATTACGATTTTTTTACAAGGAAAGTTTAATAAACTGATATAAGAATTCTATATTTGTCTAGTTTTATTTTTAGTTTTTATCTTTCTGTTAACTTTTTTGCTAAACAAATGTTCTAACAAATATTTTCCTATCTGAAAGGTGTTTAACAATTTATTTTAGCTAATATTTAATTTATTTTATGAGTTTAAAAATATGTTAATATTATTTTTCAGAATATTTTAGGTATTTAAAATAAATTTTTTATAAAATTTTATATTTATTATATTAAAATATAAGTATTATAAATAATTTTTAAAATAAAATATATTTAATTTATATATTTAAAATTAAACATAAGAACTAATATTAATAAACTTGTTTAAAATCCTATTATATACGGTGTTTATAGCGATAATTTTTAAAATTTATTGTTATGTTTACTTCATTTATACTATTTTATCATAATTTTCTTTTTTTTTTATGATTTTATACGTCTGAACTAATTTAACATCTTGTTTTCTTAAATTTTTTAATTGAATAAAATAATTAGTCAAATTTTTTACTATTTTTTCAACTTTTACTTAATTTTAAATAACTTATTAGATAATTTAGAAGTTTAACAAAAAAAACTGGAGTGTTCTTAAACTAGACCCCCACAGAAACATTTGAATTTGATTAAAACAATGATAAAAATTATAAGAATAAAAAAGAAGACGCAAGTCTAATATCAAATAAATAAAATAATTAATATTATAATAATGTCAAACTATTTAAAATTATAAAAGAAATGTCCAAAAAATCTACAAAAAATTTATAAAAATATTTATATTTTTAAGTTATTTTTAAATATTTTAACATAATTTATTCAATATATTTTAAACTTTTTAGTAAATTTTTTAATTGAAATTTGTTATAAATTTTCAAGCATAAATTTTATTAAATAAGTACACAACTAAAATATTTACTTAAATATATCTAAAATATTAAACACTACTCTCTCTCTCTCTCTATATATATATATATATATATATATATATATATATATATTATTGGTGATTGATTGTTTATATCATAATTTAAATAAAGTAATGTTCAATAAAGACATGATTGCATATTTTAAATATCATATTTATTAAGGTATCGTAATAATCCTAAAAAAAAAATTAAAATTTAAAAATATTGTAAAAACAGAAAAATTAAATGTAAATTTATATAAACTATTAATAAAATAGAAATACTTATTAAATAATATTATCAAAGCATCAATAAAATAATTAAAAATTAATATGTTTTTGTTAATTAAGATAAAATTCAATTAAGAGATCAGTTAAATTAAAAATTTAAATTAATTTTTATATTTTATTTATTTTTTGAAATATCTGTACAATACTAATTAGTTTATTTTAAGTGTCAAATTAAGATTCATAACCATATAATTAGGTTAATAGATACAATAATACATTTTTTATTTCACATACTCAACTTTTATTTTATGTGTGTTTTTAAACTACACAATTCCAGTCTTTTAATTAAATTTTAATTCTTAGAAAGACTATTTACATTTAAATTTAATCCTGCTACCTAAAATATAATTACTTCATATAAATAATTCTTATTCTGTCATGACAAAAAAATAAAATAAAATTATGCCAATACTCATAAAAATATTAATTAAAAAATTTATTAATTTTATTAATATATTTTATTATTGTATTTGGTGTATTTATTCATTATTTTTTAAATCGGTGACAAGTTTCCCTATAAAAAAAATGTAAAATAAGACATTTAATCAGTAACAAACATTTTGCACTATATTTTCATTTTCTTTGGATCGAGAAGGTTTGGGTGTAATCCCATTTACATACGCATCTCAATTCTGATGCAATAAAAGTATCAAACTAGAGGACTTTCTGCAGTTCCCAACCACACAAAATGGCTTCCATGTCTTTCTCCACAACCTTCTTCACACGACTCCATGATTTCACTCGAACAAACCAAACCCCTTCACCCTCTTTGCGTTTCATCAAATCCCCCTTTGCTTCATCCAAGTCAACCTTTTTCCAAACTGGGTTTTCTCTACCATCCAATCTTCCCAGCTTTCTTATAAAGCCAAAGTCTTTCTCAGTTAATGCAAGAGCTGCCACTGATAAAACCATTTATGATTTCACTGTCAAGGTATCATGCTCAATTTCAGTTTCTGAACTTTTTTATTAGAAAAAAATTGGGTTAGCCTTGGAATTTGAATTGGGAGTGGGGGGTTGTCAGTAAAAAAGCTCTTTTTTTTAATCATTTTGTTAATTTCAATCTTTAAGCTTGAATTTAAGTAAGCAAGTGTTTAATATGTTTTTATCTTTAATATAATAAATGTTTTTATTATCAATTTGATTAGTCCAAACTAAGGTTAACAAAACTGGTTTTCTATTATGATAATTTTTTACTATGGGAAAAAACAAAAGCTTTTTGTTTTATTATTTTGATTTATTGTTATGTGTTTATGGGAATTATTATGTGGTGCAGGATATTGAGAAGAAGGATGTTTCTCTGAGCAAATTTAAGGGGAAGGTTCTGTTGATTGTCAATGTTGCTTCACGGTGGTATGTATTATGCACCCTTCAAAGGAGATATCTACCTTAATTAATGTATTTGTGATAGAGCCTTAGTTTTCCTCTAAGTGAAAACGAAATCAGTTTTTACTTTTGTAACTATTTTTTTTTTTAAGCATCAACGTTTTATTAAAGATAAAATCAGTCAGAGTACAAGGGTATCTAATCCATTACATTTCTAAAGTTAATTTTGTAATTTAACTGTTGTGTCAAAAGTTTCTGGTCAGTTATGATACCATTGAATAAATTTCATTCCTATGGCAGTGGCTTGACATCATCAAATTACTCAGAGCTGTCACGCTTATATGAAAAATATAAAAATCAAGGTATGATATGTTGGATACAAAAGATAGTTATTTGTGGTGCATGATATTTTTGAGCATGGCAATTGGTAATATTTTCATGATGTTTGTATAGTGTATCTTCCAGATTCTGAATCTATCTGCTTGTGCAAATCTCTGTTCTTCTTGGGCAGTATAAAAATATGAAATGTCCTTTCTATTTGAATTGTGGCACAATTTATTGGTAATTTTACATGTGGATGCTGGTTGAAATAACTAACCAGGATCTGTTTCTCACATATTCCCCCTGTTGTCCTTGAAGTCACCATTCTGTTGACAACTTGACATGGTCACTTAAAAAATCACATCTTTGTTGGGAAACAATTGATTATGATTTTACTATCTATGTCTATTTATCTCTGATGTTTTATACAGAGTTTTCTGACAAACTATCTTGCTATTTTTTTCCATGTTTTAAAGGAATTGTTTATGATGTGAAGCACATCAGAACCTGTCAAGTCATCCGTTGTAGTATAGTCCACAATGATTGTTATTTTGGATTTTGTTAGGTATAAGAATCATCTGACTAAAATAGAAAGAATACATGTTTAATGAATTATTTTTTTGATGGTGCTTTCTGACAATAATGCTAAATGTTATGTAGATTTTTGAATAATTTTTTTCTCCTCACTCATATGAAGATCAGAGTGAATTTTTTCTGCAGTGGATGTGTAGAACCCAGAAATTAAATCATTGAGGTTGTGTTTAGATAGAGTAATTCTAAATTACTATATTACATGTATTTGGATAATAAGGAAAAGTGTTTTTAGAATACTGCATAATTTTTAACTAAATTTTTATCTGAAATAGAAGGAATTTCAAATGACTTGTATTCAACAGAAATTTAAAAATTCTTCTGTTATGCTTAACTTTTTGTAGTTGTCATTCATAACTCCTCTTATATTTGACTTTCACTTTAATCATTCCTCATTAGTTATTTCATATTTTCCAGAATTTTAAAATTCTCCATCCAAACATAACCTGAAGGATTCCATCCTTTGGAATTTAGGAGATTAACTTGTCTGATACTTTTGCATTGATTCCTCTTGTCCGTTTTCCCTAGTGCATATTTGTATCATGCTACATGTAGCTAAATTAATGCTGTATGTTAGGAAAGATGGAAAATAGAAAGAGTGAAGAGTTGGGTAGGGGAGTGACTGAGTGAAAGTGAAGAAGATGGACAAGTTTTCATTTCCACTTTTTTTGTCTGGACTATACATTGAATTTCATTGTAAATTTGATTTGATTTCTGTTTTTTTTAATCTCTTCTGAGCACACCTTAAGTTGCTTATTAACACAGGTAGCATAGTAAGGTCCCTATATCTATATGGTGGAACATGGAGAGAGCTTTGGCCTTAGATGCATATCTGGTCTGTTGATATTTGAAGAACTTTGGTGGTTTCATTGTAGGAAAATTAAAAACGTCCAGTGCATAGATTCAAAAGTGACCTAAATTCGATTTTACATTTTGTTGTTTCTTTGAACATGGCTCTTAGTTTTTCAGTTTAAAAGTAATATTTTTCTTCAGCCACACACTTCCAGTGCCCTTATGCAGCTTTTTTCCAGGTTTGGAGATTCTAGCTTTCCCCTGCAATCAATTTGGTATGCAGGAGCCTGGATCAAATCAAGAAATTAAGCAGTTTGCTTGCACTCGATATAAAGCTGAATTTCCAATTTTTGATAAGGTTGGATAATTTTTTTCGGTTAGTAGTTCAGTTTAAGTACAAGGTAACAGAATAATAAAGTTTTGTAAAACAGGTTGATGTAAATGGACCATTTACAACTCCAGTATACCAGTTCCTGAAATCAAGTGCTGGGGGCTTTCTTGGTGATCTTATCAAGTGGAATTTTGAGAAATTCTTGGTTGACAAAAATGGCAAAGTTGTTGAAAGATACCCACCTACAACCTCTCCTTTTCAAATTGAGGTATGTTAAGCTTCCCCCCAGTAGCTAGTCTAGTTTCTAATTGTTACATTGGCAATGAAATAACTATTAAAGTACTTAATCGAGTATGTCAATTGAGAAATTTAGCACGGAAATTCAGTGTTGAAACTTTTAATGCTGAAAACTTCAGCACTAAAATTTAATGCTTGAAAACTCTAATATTTTAAGTGCCTAATGAAATAGTTAATGCTTAGTGTAGTCAGTAACCTCTTGCTTGCTGAAAGGTTTCAGCAGTTTTCAATTACATTCGTTGTGAGTAGGTATTAAACAAATGCGAGTAAATTATTTTCAGCACAGTTGAGTTTTGAAATAGGCCCTACATCTGAGTATTTAATGAAACAATTTTCAATGGTTCAATTCTAAATAAAGTTACACTCCTACAGTAAACTGTATCACAAATGAAGCTTCTATAATTCTATTTGTTGTTGTTAGAAGAATTGCACAATTGGATAAGATTTGGTAAGTTAGTCATTCATATCATGTGATGAATCACAGATGGCTTTGAATTGCATGATACATACTTGAATTGGCTTGATTCTGTATCACCAAAATTGCTCAGAGGCTTTAGAGCAGCAGAAAATGAGTTGGCTACTTGGTAGCTATATAGCTGTTTGTTTCAGTGCTACTTTATTTTCTTATAGTTTCTTCAAACTGCATCAAACATTGAGGGCTGCATCTATTGAAGGCATTATGAGAGGGATGTTAAGCCCAACAATTCTAAGAGGGAGACATATATGATTATCTTGAGTGTTGAGGCCCTCAAAATTTAGTATACCCCAATTGTCTTTGATTTATGTAAATCCTAAGGTCTAATTATTATTAATAACAAAAGAACAACAACTAATCTTATTCCACTAAGTGAGCTCGGCTACCTAAATTATACTATACTATTAAACATTATGAATAAAAAAAGAGATAATTAAAAAATTAAGAAAGTCAGACTCAGCATCACATTCATATACCTGGATTAGTCATTAGTTTTCACGAATAATTTTTGGGATTTGATATATTCTCCTACTCATCTTCCTCCTATTTTGTACAGAAAGTATTAAATGAAAAAGTATATGTATTTATTATCTTGAAAACATAAAAAATATTTAATATTTTCTTCATTTAGTAATAAAGAGGATTTGTAAAAAAAGTTAGGAGGTTTAAAATTAGTCATAAATTTGGGATGTCTGTCAGCTGTCTCTGCTGTTTGGTTAGTTACATGTAATTGTAGCAAAATTTGCAGATTAAAATGTGGACAGCCAGGTGAACCAATAAGGGGTACCCCAATATCAACCTTCCACTTTGGAATTTTTATTTTACAGTCAACATTTTGAGAGTGAATTACACTTAAAAAAGACTATATATTTGTTCTTTCATAAATAATGTCAACTTATGATTAACCTTATCTTTTCGAGAATTGATATTATAATTTTTCTAACTTTACAAAAATACCCATGATAAGAAATTAATAAATAACATTTTTATTAAAAATTATAGCATTCAATACTATCAATTTCAATAAAACTTAGAAAGTCTCTATTGTCATTTCTTATTTAAGATTTTTAATTTAAATATTATATTATTATTATTATTATTATTATTATTATTATTATTTAATTAACCAATAGAAAAGAACCTTTTAAATAAAGGAGTGGCAATAGACATTTTGGAGTGATTGTATTATAGATTTACAAAAAAAACTTAACTACATATACATTCTTATCATTATCATGTGCAGTTTATTGTTGATACTAAAGCTATTAAAAATATTTTATGATTAACCTGGTCTTTTCTATTTTACATTTTTTTTTTCAGAAGGATATCCAGAAGTTACTTGCTGCATGAATGTGTAATTCCGAAAACAAAGGATAACTGTACCTAGGAGCACAAACCGAGCGGTGCTAGCACAAGTAGTTCAAACTGATGAAGAGCAATAAATATAATTATGTAAATTCGTTGGGTGTTTTTGCTGATGAAACTATTAGTTTAGGAAAAATTTCACTATAATACCCCAAAATTATTTAAATAATGTGCAATTGAATAAATATACAAGTCCACAATGTTAAGGCTTTTTCTTTAATTTGTGTCTAAGCTATCCATTGCTTTGAATGATTTCATTTTTTAAGATCTAATAGATTTGTTATGCCGCATTCGGAGTTACATTACAGACAATAATTAATTTGTAAGTAACACCGTGCAATTTAAAGTCAACCACAACTCTCTTTTCTTTCCAGAATCACAGCGCCAAGAATTTTGACATGTTTCAAGATGTTTAATTTTAGAAAAATAATTATTTATTTTAAAAATTAAAATAAATAAAATAAAATGTGTACTACGTGAGATCTAATATAACATTTATTATTTTATTTAATTTGGTCGCTCTTAGACCATGAGATACTGAAATTTTACTCCATAGACATTAATTTTGATATGTGGAGACAAGAACAGCTGTTAACTTTATTTGAATTTGGTGTGTTTTTTAATAGACGAGACTCGACCCCATCTTCCTTATTTAATCGCCAATTAATTTACAACATGAAAGGAGCACATCCAGGGAAGGCTAACAAGGTTTTAGGCACTGTCAGATCATTATTATAGACCTATTTTTTCAGAAAATATTTCTTGTAAATCTATTTTTAATTTTTGAATTTAAAATTACTAATCAAGCTAAATTTATTAAAAATGCAGTAATTTCTCACTCTGAGTTTACTTATTTATTTTTACTTTTATAATTTTTAATAAACTTTAACGACCAGTTAAAAAAATTTATTAAAAATTACATAATTTAATCCAGTTATTAAATACTAAAATTTTATTATTTATTAATTTGTATCGCGTCCAATATTCACGCTCAGATAAATGATAACAAAAATAATGAAAGAAAAGAACATGTTGCATAACTTTGACCGGAAGCCAGAAGCAGTTTTCAACGCTGCATTCATAGCACAGTTCTTCTTCTTCTTCTTCTTCGTCCTCAGTGGTGAAGTGAAACCAAAGCTGGCTGGCATTTCATCACAATCCAGTTCCAACCCGAATCGCAGATCGAAAACACGAACCATAACAACACAATAATCTTCAAAGCCATGCCCACATCAAAGAAACCCAACACCATGCTCTCCACCGTAACACAGCCAATAGAATGGTTGAGAATGCTATCATCACAACTAAACCCAACCTTCGTAATTGGCGTCTTCCTCATTTATGGGCTGGGCCAGGGCTTCTCCGGCTCGTTCTTCAAAGTAGTTTCAGATTATTATTGGAAAGACGTGCAAAAGGTTCAACCTTCCACAGTGCAACTCTACGTCGGCTTTTACTTCATTCCGTGGGTTCTTAAGCCCGTTTGGGGAATCCTCACCGACGCGTTTCCCGTTCGAGGATACCGCCGCCGACCCTATTTTATTATCGCCGGCGTCCTCGGCACTGTCTCCGCCGCACTCGTCGCGCTTGTGGGGAACCTCGCCGCCGCCGCGGCGCTGCTGTGCTTCCTCGGCGTGTCCGCGTCGCTTGCTATTGCTGACGTGACGATTGACGCGTGCATCGCACGGAATAGCATCGAGGTTCGGTCTCTTGCGCCGGATTTGCAGAGCCTTTGCGGGTTCTGTTCGGGTTTCGGTGCTCTCGTTGGGTACCTTGCTAGTGGCTTCTTCGTTCACCATCTTGGACCTCAGGTACCAATCAAACCACCAAATTTCAACAGTTTTCTAAATTTAAGTAATCAAAAAGCTAAATATTTTTGTCTGAAAATATTGTTAATATACTTTTTTTTCGTAAAGTTTTAATAAAGAATTTTTACTTAACTAGTGTTAAAGCATCGGTTAAGAAGAATTTTTTTTTTTCTAATTCTGCATAGTTTTCAAGAGTTTAATTTTTCCAAGTTTTGTTGGTTTTTGTAATTTGTTGTATTTGTAGCTAAAGAAATATTTTTAACGATTTTATTAACCTTAACTGGGTTAAATTTAACTAAATAATAATAATAATGATAATAATAGAATTGGATTAAAAAATATTCATCATGTTTCTTTTTTAAAGTATTAACTTTAGATGTTTAAACTTAATTTTAATATTAAAGTTAATAAATCACTTTTCTAATTACAATTTTGAAAATATTAGTCATTAAAGTTAGTTTTAAATTAATTTTAAGTAATTAAATGTAATATATTTTATTGAAAATATTTACTTTTTAATCGTTTTTTGTTTTTAAATGCTTAAAATGAATTTTTAAAGTGGATATTAACATTTTAAATTAATTAAAGTTTATTTAAATTTATGAAATTACTTGAGTTTCACTTCTTCTTTAACGTAGGATTTTAGAAATTTTAAATTTTAGTTTGTTGAGGAAAAGGTAGAAAGTTGACATAATTATGATAAACAATTTAAAATGGATTTGGATCATAGATGAGTTCATTTGTGTTGTTTATGCAGGGATCGTTGGGTCTGATGGCACTTTCTCCTGCGTTGACAATTGTTTTGGGTTTTGTGATTTATGAGAACAGAACAAGTGGCTTGCATGGTGAAAAGAAACAGGTTTGAAAACTATCTTGGTTCTTTGTCTGTCCCTTTTGTTGAATTTATGCTAAATTTAGCTTTTGATAATAATCTGATGTATCGCACATGATTTTGGTTATTCTTCTACGTTCTAGCCAACAAATTTTCAATCTACAATTATTGATATCACTTGTAGAGTTTGACTTTTACCCAGGTACTGTTCATTAGTTGGGTTAACGCCGAATTGGCAATAAAGGAGATTGAAGGACCGAAAGAAAATTCATTAGTTCATTGTTCAGGAAAAAAGGAATGGAAGGATCTTAAGTCTTTGTTCATTGTTAATGGGAACGCGCATTATTAACATCTCATCATTCTCTCTCTATATATCATTGGCCGGTGTGGTTTTGCTGTCATGTTCCTTTTGTAAACATTGAACAATTAACAATTAATATCTGGAGTTGATAATTACCAAACTAATTTTTGATTTGATGGATTTGAACTTATTTTTTTATGTAAAGTTGGACGCTTTAGTTGGACGATCTAATTACACTGCTTCAGCTTGCTTCTTTTTAAAAAAAATATATTATCTTCTTTAGGATCAAACTCAAACTCATTTGTTTGAATTCATAGACTATTCTTAAATCTTAACTCATATACTGGTTGATCTAGGTGGGGCAAAGGCTCTGCTCACCCTATATTATATACTCTTAATTTTTTAACCATTCTATATTTTGTGTACTCACATAATCTAAACGTATGATAACCAAAACCAAAAGCATTCAGCTCGTAATAACTAGTGGCTAATCTTATATTAAAGGGATTTTAGAAATGTTGACAAAATCTACTGATTTTCATAATTTGAAAGATCTATGGCATCTTTGTTAACCAAGTGAACTAATATAACAGTATGATTTTGCAGACGGCATTGGAGAGTGTAGGAATGACAATTAAAAGTATGCACCAAACAATGATGTACCCTCAAGTATGGAAGCCTTCTCTTTTCATGTTCCTTACCCTAGCTCTCAATGTAACCACTCACGAAGGCCATTTTTACTGGTATACAGATCCAAAAGCCGGCCCTGCATTCCCTCAGGTAATTCTCATTTTTTATTTTTTTGCAGAAGTCATAATTGTTACCCTCGCATTTTCACTCCTAAACACGTACGAGTTTATGATTTCTGGTAAGAAATTTTTGTCAAATCATACCTAAACTTGCTTTTAGGTATGCTCAAATAAATTTGAATAAACTAGCAAGGTTACGCCCAATTCTAGGAGTTTAACAAAATAAAGGGAAAATCAGTTTTTCTTTACCAAAATTTCACTATTTGAAATTTTAATACCGCTTTTTTAACCCTCTCTGCAAGTTTGGAAACATTGCATTTAGAATCAGGCATCAAAATACCATTGTCGTTATATGATTTAACTATTTAAATATAATTTTAACTTTATTATTATAGATTTTTTAATATTATTTTAGTACAAGGTAAACTCTTACTAGTTCACAATTCCAGTTTATGAGTTTACAAATATTTCATAAGTTTATGCCAACTCTCAGTTTAACAACTTTGGCAAAAATGACTAAAGAGAGGATTTTTCTCAACAGCCCGTTACTTTCTTACGTTTTTTCTCCCTATAAATGCAGGAATTTGTTGGGGTGATCTATGCAATTGGTGCAGTGGCTTCCATAATAGGGGTAGTAATATACCACAAGGCTCTAAAAGACTATCCATTTAGAAACCTAGTATTTTATGGACAACTCCTATATGCCATATCTGGTGTACTGGACCTAATCTTCATCCTACGTTGGAATTTGATTATTGGAATTCCTGACTACTTCTTTGTTGTCATTGAAGAAACTGCTACAAGAATCACAGGCAAAATAAGATGGATGCCCATGTTGGTACTGAGCACCCAGTTGTGCCCTTTAGGCATAGAGGGCACTTTTTTTGCACTTTTAATGTGCATTGATAGCATTGGAGCTCTCTTATCAAGATGGGGTGGAGGGGTTCTTCTTCGTCTCCTCAATGTCACTAGAACTGATTTTACAAACCTTTGGTTGGCTGTTCTTATAAGGGACATGCTTAGATTTGCTATACTTGCTTTAGTTTTTCTTGTTCCTAAGGCAGGTCAATATGAGGGACTGCTTCCTTCTGAGGTTTCGGAAAAGAATGTGTCTGATAATGTCGATGAAGAGACCTTGGAGCTTGTCCCCATCAACGCCAACACTAAAGTTTAGACAAATTTTGTTGTAATTATAAGAAATACACACCTGAATCACTTTGCCATTGCCTATGTGCCAGATTCTAGCTAGATGCACAGATTCTTCGATAACGATGATAGGCACGAATTATATATATACACACGAGTTTCTTCTTTTAATTTTAATGAAATACTGCAAAGTATTTCCTTTTTTAATTCAACATATTATATATATTTTTATTTAGTTTTATCTTATTTAATACGATTTTGTTAAAGTAAACTTTTAAGGTCAGATTTAAGTATTTAAAAATAATTTTTTAATTAAAAATTATGACAATTTTACTACCTCAACTTCTACCGTTTTGCTAACATTTGGCAAAATTTTTAAATTTAAAATTTTAATAAATTTCAAAAAATAAAAGAAAGGGAGCGTCAAAGATAATTGAGTATATTATTTATTTATTTGCTTTAGAGTACATTATTTATTTTACGATGTATATAGATGCATAATTTAATTAAATGTTTAATTAATAAGCTCATAAGAACTTATTCTAACTATAATTTAATTATAATTTTTTTAAATAAACTAAAAATAATATATTTTAATAAAGGATCATGCCAATAAACTTTAAATTTATTAATTAAAAATTAATAAACACAAAGCTACATTAAAATTTTAAAAAACAACATTATGCTAACAAATTTATTAAAAAACAAAAATATAAATTATTTTTGTAAATTCATCTTGGCGAAATTTCGAAATTGCCCTGAGTGAGGTTGACAACAGAGTTGGTTGGGTTACTCTGAAGTGTTGGAGTTTGGAATTCGAGTGTGGGGTGGAGGCAACCAAAACCAGAAAACCAGCACCAGAGCATCGTCTTCATCCTTCTTCTTAGATGGTAAGGTTTTCTTCAATCTCTTTCATTTCTCGCAATTCTCCTTTTCACCGATTCCAATTCCTTTCCCCTTTTCCAGTATCATTCAATTAGGGCTTTCCTTCTTCACGCTTACCAATCACTTCGCCTTCCCAATTCATTTCTCATCGCCACCTTAACTAACCCTAATTCTTGTTTTCTATATTTTGTAGGATAAACGGCACACTATTATTCTAATGCAGACCTCTCAGAACAGAGCAACTAGAACTTTCATGGATTATGATTCTATCACTCAGGCCATGGATGGTATAAATAGTAGTACTATAACTCCACTAATATTTTTCATATTTATTTTTGCCCCTGTTGTTCTGTTTGCTTGATTTCAATGTAGATATGTGCTTCTGGTTTTGCTTTGCTTGTCTGAATTTGCATGCAATTTCATCAATTGAAAAGAACGGAGTGTAATTTGGCACTGCCTTTCTTTTTGAGTTGTACTGATAAATTAAAGAAAAATGCTGGGCATTGGTTAAGGAATAAAAAATAGTAATGTTTTATTGAAAAATGTAAATATGCACTCATATCTATGATTTTCAATGCATACTAGTGATTTTCAATAAATATTTATCATTTATTTATTCTTTAATCACTGCCCTTAGAGCACAGGTCAGCAAAATCCTAAATTAAATTCTATTTTCTTGTGTTCATTTGGAGAGCATTGCCCAACTAACGAATGTGGTCCTAAACTTAGATATGCTCTTTCATATCTAGTTTGAACAACGACCAAATTCTGTTGATGTGAATAATTATGATTTCAATACAAGCTCAACTGTAGTGGATAGGTAGGGTTCAAGTGGCTTGTGGTTTCAAATCTTAATGGATTTTTTTAATTATTTTTTTCCCCTCTTGTTTTCTTTTTACCTGTTATGCTTTCCTCCCTAGAATTGGCTCTCTTTGTTTTCCTTAAAACGTTGGCTGTGTAACATTTTGTATTGTGATTTTTCTCTAATGCACCTGTTGTAGAAAAAATGGTAGATTCTTGCCTTAGCTAAATAGCTAGTTTGGGCATATGTGGAGAAGACTAGTAGAAGCCCTGATAAGGAAAGTAGGTCAGTGGAGGATAACCAAATCATCAAAGTAGAGGGAGGCTGAGGAAAACTATAATCAAAACCATTAAGAAGGATTTAGAGGTCAATGGTTTGTTTGTAGCCATAATTTACTATAAGACATTATGGTGTTGTTTGATCCTTGAAGCTGTCCTTCCTAGCAGGAAAAGGCTTGTTTGCTGTTCTTTAGATGGTGGATTTTGGATTAGAAAGTATGGATAATGTAATAAGGCACATAGCATTGAGAAAACACAAACTTGATCAATTCAGATCAATTCATCTCAGTATTTTGGCTTACTTTGGATTTTTTAGCACATTGTATTCTTCCACAACCTTCTTCCACAACCTTGTTATAAGCTTTTATGATGTTTTGATATCAGTTTAGGGATAATTTGGTGATTTTTGAAGTATTTATTTTCTTTTGGGAAGACCAGTCCTCTGGCTGTTGTTAGCTTGAATTTATGTTCTTTAGATTAGATGTTTTAGATTCTTACTTTGGTGTTTAAGAACTATTTCTTCATTTTTGAAGAATTCAAAACCTTGTTGCAATGTTGATGATCATTGTTGATGAAACTCAAGGCAAAATATTTCTGTTTCCTTTTGATTGTGTGATGCAATCAAACCCATGGTATTATGCCTAGGTTGCTTCTTCTACCCTCTCTTCTTTAATTTTGTGCTCTACAGAGACTATTTTTATTTGAAGACTGTAGTTAGATCTAATCCCATCATAAACACTGAATTGAAGTTGTTCTAGAGCATATCAAATGCTATTGTTCGCTAATTGAACCCTTTATCCTCTCCTATTGCCTGAAAATCCTCCCTATCATTACATGCATAACAAATGAACCTTCAATCACCTGCTTTAAACCTAATCCTGGCCTATTAAAATTTTAGTCCATCCGACATTCATAGTGTTTATCTGATAACATGAAAAACAGAATATCATGGATTGCATAATTCAGTCATTTACAATTTTTTATTGTTTCAAGAGGTGAGTTGGATTTGATATATTGGATTAAACTGTGTCTTATTTTTTATATTAAATTAGATTCTCAGTTATCACTGTGTTAAAAGTATCTATTATTCAGTTGAATGAGGTGATCAGATCTCATCTAGTCAAAAGACTAAGTTCTTGGCATTTTTGGGAATCTGTAAATTTTGTGTGCTTTTTGGTGGGCATGTGTAGCACAATCAATAACTGTTGTCTGAAGGTCATAAAATTTAATGCTGTTTAACAATCTATCCCAATCTTTAGAAAATTCGAAACTCAAGCCATCATGCTGAAGCAATATTTGGATACCTTTGATGATTCCTTGCAGCATACTGAACCAATATTTGGGCAATGCGATCAGCTAAAGAGAGCAAATGAATGAATTATCATGTTTTAGTGTTATTTTGTAGGTTCATGAATTTATTTACATTTCATTTCATGTCAATTTCATCTACGTAGAAAAGGTGCCACGTTCTTTTGGCTTTTTAAAGGAATTTCCATAACTTATCAAATCATGTCACACCAAACACAGTGATATGCATCTACAGCCAACATGAAAATAAATCATGTTAAAAAGGATATGAATAGATAACAGATGCATGCTGTTGGTATAACTTCTTTTTCTCTCTCTCTCTCTCTCTTTTTTTTTTTTTTCTTTTTGTGGTTCATGCTGGTATATTATTATTTTTGTAGATATTCTTTGTTGATGCTTTGTATGGATTAATTCTTAGTATTAAATATAGGTTTTAATCTTGAGCTTGTACAGGTATATGTGCACTGTATGAAAGGAAACTAAAGGAGTTGAATCCGGCCATCAGAAATCTCTCTTATGATATTACTGATCTCTACAACTTCATAGATGGTCTTGTGGACTTGAGCGCCCTAGTGTATATCTCTCTTTCCCTCTCAAAAAAAATCATGTGCACGCACATTTCATTAATTCCTTCACAAATTTTTTTTTTTTAATTTTCGTTTGAAAGCAGTCATAATTTTGTTGATATTTCAACAAAGAGTAAGGTAGAGAAAGGGATAGATAGGATATTCAGATGCTTTGAGCTCTTTATAATTCAAGCATAAGGCTTTTTTTTTTCTTTTAAATGTTGAACTAGAAGGTTCTGTTTTTGACATTGAGATGTAGATTAAGGAAAACAAAAGATTAACCGTCTCTTTGTTGGCTTAACTGATGTAGAGAGTTGACATTATTTTCCTCCGTGGGTCATTATTAGTCTTAACAGAGTAGGTTGTTTTCTTTCTGATGAAATAAATTACCATAAATCAAGTTTTATATTTTGTTTAGAGCTCTTGTACCGTTGATAAGAAGTGTTGGGGGGAAAATGATTTACCTTCCCCCCTCTGTTCCCTTCCTCCCCTCCACCTGCACTTTTTCTGGGCTATAGGGTTGATAAGAACTTAATGAATCATGGCAATTGCTGTTTCATTTGCTTACTCTACCTGTTCTGGCCCTCTCTGGAAAAGATCTGGAAAATTAAGTGGACTTGTGAAATGTCTATGCATATAATTGGTTATCTTGTATATGGGGCTTTCTCTGTGCATGTGGGTTGCCTTGGCATTGATTGATATAGCTGGTTGTTTGGTTTCCACCTGCAGGTATGATAGTTCAATTCATGCTTACTTGCCATATGATCGACAGTGGATTAAGCAACGAACTTTCCAACACTTGAAGAAATTGGCACATTGATTAATCCCTTGATTTTTAGCAATTTAATGTAAAGAAAATCTCTAAGGGCTGAACCTGTCTGTAGTGGGCTATACTCCGATGGCTATGTTACTGAATATGAATATGCAAATGCTTTTGGGACGAAATTATATATATCAATAGCTAATGCTGCTGAAGTTTCTGAAACTAATGATTGTTGTCGGCGTGGTCGTTCTACCTTCTATATTAGAAGGCTCGCCCTTTTCTAAAAATCTTAATCTTGTACTATTTAATACTAAGTTTGCACTGTTGAGTGACCTTTTCGCACATCTTTGATTCTCAATATCCTATGAATGCTAGTTTCGAGAGTTATTCGACGTGATTGATTTGTCTTGGAGGATGATTATAAAATAGCATTTACACGTAGAAATATCAATTTTCAGTTCAGGGCTTCAGGCTGTAAGACGTGCTGTCTTTCTGAATTAATAGTATTTGAACAATAATGAACATATTCCTTTATAACAACATTGGAACAAGTAATCTAAGGATGTTGTTATTTTTCTAATAATCTTTCCCCGGCTTGAGAAACCAAAGGCCAATTGGGCATTGTCTTATATATATTAACAGTTAAAATACATATTTTTAAATTAGTTCATTTCTTTAAAAAAAATTAGATTTAAATTTTGAATGATTGTTTGGTTAAATTTTAATTTTCACCGTTATAACATAGAACAAAAAAAAAATGCAATTTAGTTAGTAATAACTTTTATTAACATGTTGTTTAGGGTTTAGAAAAATCTTAATTTCTTTTTCATGAGAACTAAAATATAATTTTTTTAAATATAGAACTAATTTATTAATGAGTGTTAATTATAATAATTAAATATATATTTTAATTCGTAGAAAAGACTCTGACTTTGACTCATTAGCGTAAATTAGAAAAGGATGACTTATAGATCCCTAGCCAAACGTTTTTGAAACAGTCAAGACTTGGAATGGTTGATATGAATTGTTTAAGTTTGAACATAGACCTTCCTCCAAAAGTTTGATATCTAATATATGAATTGAATCATTAATTAATCGATACGATAACACTTGGAAAGAGTTTTATTAAAAAAATTTCGTTATTAATTTTTAGTGAATTTTTTTATTTTATTTTTTCAAATGATTTTTTTTTTGTTGGAGTCTTTTTTTAATATATTTTTGTTTTTAGTCTTTAATGTTAATATAGTTAGACCAAATATTGACATATATCAAAATTTTAAATTTTTAATGGACTAAATCAATATTAAAAGTTATAAATAAAAATTTATTAAAAATTAGAAATAAAAAATTAAAACTAAAAATTAACTAAAATGTAATGTATATTACCATATTTTCTGTTATGATAGTTATTGTAATTTGTTTGTGAATTCTGTTTAATGTTAGTTAGTTGTTTGGGCTTCCTTGTAGCTCTATAAGAGCATTACATCTATTAATGAATTACATGTGAAGTATTACAATAATTTATACTTTTTCTTTCTCCATATTCTAACATTCTGGTATCAGAGCTTCTATTGGGGCCTGTGAAGAAAGTGAGTTGAATACGTGATAGAGAGTGTGTCAAATGCAAATGATAGCAGTTTTGTACAATCAACAATTTTGTACTTCGATGGTCATAGTGGCATTGGAGTATGTTGATGGAAAACTTCTTAAGATCCAAGGAGTACTGGAGCTTGGTGGAAACAGGATTTGAAGATTCAGAAAAAGGAGGTGCAACTACTGAAGATCAGCAAAAGAAACGTAATGAGATAAAACTAAAAGATTTGAAGGTCAAGAATTACTTGTTTCAAGCCATAGATAGGACAATCTTAAAAATAATCTTACAAAAGAATACATCAAAGAAAATATGGGATTCGATGAAAAGAAAATATGAAGGCAATCAAGAGTAAAAAGGTCGATTCTTCAAAGTTTAAGGAAAGAATTCAAGATCCTTGAAATGAAATCGGGTGAGAGCATAACTGACTACTTCTCTAGGGTCATGAGTGTGGCCAGCAAGATGAGAACTTATTGATAGACGATGCCGAGTCGCTATCAAAACAACTAAGTTTTTTAAAAATTTTGTAGTATATAGTCAAACTTAGGTCGATTCACGGAGACACATTTTCAGTCAAATTCAATTTTAGGTTTTCTTTAAAAAAAATGCAAATAAGATTTTTAGATTTTTGAAAATTGTAATTAATCAAATTAAATTACGAACATAATTAAAGTGAGTAAAAAATGAATTAAGAAATATCAATCCACAGAATACCAATTGCGTGTAACTCAGACTATCACAGTATCTAAAGATTTAAATCTACGTTTGAATAATCACCTAATTCAATTATTAATTCAATTAAATAACCTAATTGAATAGAGTTACAAATTAAATCAAATAATCATTTAACTTGATTCGCATTAATTATCAAATTAGAGCTTCAATCGAGTCCTAATTTGAAATCTAACAACAGAAAAGTCAAGCACGATCGCAATAAACAATTCTAATATTAGAGAGAAAAAGAGAACAAACTCGGAGCAATTAACACAAAACTCAAGTCAGAATTACAACATTTTGATTTCACGGATTGAACAAGAGATTTAGCCTTCCATCGAAATTCTTAACCCAAGCAAGAATGAGAAAAGAACGAGAGAATTCGAGAGAAAGTAAAAATAAGGATTCTTATTTCGACCAAGCCTCAAAAGCTCAAAGTGTCTAATTACCTCCCCTAATTCAGAACCTTATTAGTCTATTTATAGATTCTGATTAGGGTAAATTAAGTAGCCAAAATGCGAGTCTCAATAATATCTAAAAGCCCAAATATAATTATTAAATAACAAGGGTCCAAATGCAATCCCACAACAATATTCAGTAAATTTGTTTCAACTCCAAAAAATCATAAAAAATTGAAAACAACTCTAAATCCGATGATCCATATATGCATTTTGAAGCTCGAGATGTGTAAAATCTAATGCAACTGGAATCAGTCAAAAATGATATCTATAGAAAAATTTGTGGCCAAAAGAGTAGTTAGAAGTCAGAATAACCAAAAATACAAAATTAAATCATTTATTCGTAATAGGCCTAATTTATTCAAATAAGTAGAAAATGATAAAAATTATAAAAATAAAGCATATGAAAAGTGTTTATTAATCAAAATAAAATATTAAATGTAAACATATAATATATTACATCACTTATGGAGAGCAGATGCAAGATGTAATAATTGTCAAAAAAATTCTAAAATCCTTAACTGACAGATTCAATTACATAGTTTGCTCAATTGAGGAGTCTAAAGATATTGACTTTCTTTCTATTGATGAACTTCAGAGTTCTTTGATAGTTCATGAGCAAAAATTTCACAAGAAACATAAAGAGAAGCAGACACTTAAAGTAAGTTATGAAGAAAGAAATGACAATGGAGGCAGGGGTAGAGGCAGCTATAGAGGAAGAGGAAAAGGAAAAGGAAGAGGAAGAGGGAGGCAAAATCGAGCCACAAGTGAATTTTTAAATGTCACAAACTTGGGCATTATAAGTATGAATGTCCTGAATGGTATAAAGAAGCCAATTATGCTGCATTCAATGAAGAAAAAGAGCTCTTGTTGATGGCTCTTGAGGATTTACATGATGTGCAGGCAACAAATGCATGGTTCTTGGATTCTTGTTGCTCAAACCACAAGTGTGGAAACATATCTTGGTTTCAAGAAGTAGATGACACCTTCAAGCAACATGTAAAGCTTGGTAATAACACAAGAATGGAGGTGACTGGAAAAGGAAGTGTTAGGTTGAACATTAAAGGAGTCAATCACATAATTATTGATGTGTTTTTAGTACCAAAACTCAAGAACAATATGTTGAATATAGGACAGTTGCAAGAAAAAGGCTTAACCGTAATGTTTCAGCTAGGAACTTGCAAGTTGCATCATCCTGATAAGGGCTTGATTTTAGAGACTAATATCACAACAAATAAAATGTTCATTCTATTTGCTCAATCTGCAATCAAGAAGGATTCATGCTTTCATATCTCTACTCAGGATCTCCATCTTTATGGCATCGTAGATATGCACATCTTAGTCACAAAGGACTAAAAATTTTACAAAGCAAAGGAATGGTTAGAGGCCTTCCCTCTTCATTATCTACAACAGAAAAAGTGTGTGAAGATTGTATGAAAGGAAAGCAACATTGAGATCCCATCCCAAAGAAAAGTCAATGGAAAGAAAAACAGAAACTAGAATTGATTAATGCAAATATTTATGGCCCTATCACTCCATCTTCCAATAGCAAAAAAAGATATTTCTTATGCTTATTGATTATTACTCTAGAAAGGCGTGGATTTATTTCTTAACAAAAAAATCAGAGGCATTTCACTTCTTTCAATGTTTTAAGAATCTAGTCTAATGATTAAATGCCTTAGAACTGATAAGGGAGGAGACTACACATCATTAGAGTTCAATGAATTCTGTCACAAAACAAGAATTAAAAGGCAATTAACAACAATTTACACCCCTCAACAGAATGGAGTAGCTGAGAGGAAGAACAGATCCATCATGAACTTGGTGAGAACTTTATTATCAGAGAAGACACTTCCAAAATCTTTTTGGCCTGCAGCAATAAACTGGGTAGCATATGTACTGAATAGATCTCCAACATTGGCTGTGAAGAATCAAACACTAGAGGAGGCTTAGAGTGGTGTCAAGCCTTCAGTTGAGCATTTTAGAGTATTTGGTTGTATAACTCATGTACATATTTTAGATGCAAGGAGAAACAAATTGGAAAACAATAGTTGCAAATGTGTTCTGCTGCGAATGAGTGGGGAATCTAAAGGATACAGGCTCTATGATCCAATTACAAGGAAAATCATGGTAAGTAGAGACGTGGTCTTTGAGGAAGACACTCAATGGAACTGGAATGTCAATCATAGAGAAGAACTAATAGAAGATTTGGAATGTGGAGACACTAAAACTACTACTGAATTTGAAAAAGAGAGTACAACAGATAGTGAATCTATTGACGAAGAAGGGAATCAGTCACAACAAAAGGAAACTGATGTGATTAATGATGAAAGAGGCAGAAATAGACAACCACCTGGTTGGATGAGAGATTATGTAGATGGAGAAGAATTCTTAGAGTCTGAAGATGCAATAAACATTGCATTGATAGATTAC